GGAGGCAATGGCAAACCACTTCCAAAAAACCTTGCCAAGAAAACTGCAGGGATTTGTCCAGACAGTTGCTAGGAGTCAAGCCTGACTCGAAAGCATCAGAGAGCCAGTTTGGTATATTGGTTAAGGCATCAGGTTAGAAACCGGGAGCCTGTGAGTTCTAGTCCTGCCTTAGGCACAAAATGAGCTGGGTGACTTTGGATCAATCACTCTCTCTCAGCCGTAGGAAGAAGGTGGCAATGGCAAACTACTTCCGCAAGACTTTGCCAAGAAAACTCTATGGACTAGTCCAAGCAGTCGCCAGGAGTCAACACTCACTCAAAGGCACCAAAAAAAAGAAAAAAAAAGCCCTCACCTCTTCAGAGAGAGGTGAATGGAGTCTTTCTGCTCTGCAATCTTCAACCATCTGAAGAATGGGCTTCGAGAAGCAACGCCTCCTTAAGGCCACATTCCTGTCCCATCAGGAAGGGTTCACTGTGTCCTCACTGCTGAGGAGGGCACTCAGAGGGCATCTGAGGTAACTCATGGTTGCTTCCCCCTCCATTTTCCTGATTTATTGCTCCCTTAGCTTTGGTATGCTGGGCTTTTATTGCTATTTAAGTATATTGATATATATTTCTCTGGCAGCTTAATTGCCTTGTGGATTCTGCTAGTTGGAAAGGTAGGGTGTTAGAATTTTGAATAAAAGAAACAACAGGTTAAATACAATAATTATCTTCTGATAAGTGTGCTGTATGTGCTGTAGGAACAGTATCTTTAAAATGGTTTTTCCTGTTTCCTTTCCTCTCTCTGATGTGCAGACATAGTGAAACCTTTATAAGGAATCCTGCTCATGCAACCTTATAGACAGATGCTATTTTGGCAAATTTGCCAAAATAACCTAAATACCCTGTCTGACTTCTACATCCTTTACTGTGACTTAAAAGGGTTACCTCTGCTTCACCATCCAATCATATGGAACTAGACTCTCTGTACCCAAATATTCCATTTCTGAATTTCCCAGAACACAAACTGAATACAGCTTATGGTGAGGTGTATTTTGCACTGCTTGCTTCAATTTAATCAAGACAAATCAACCTGTTGGTCCCTTTGAACTACTGCAGTTTTATTTTTATTTGAAGTCTAAACCAGTATAGATTAGAGTCAGTTTGATGTAGTGGTTAAAGCATCTAGAAACCAGGAGACTGAGAGTTCTAGTCCCACCTTAGGCACAAAGCTAGCTGTGGGCCAGTCACTTCAGCTCTAGAAGAAGACAATGGCAAACCACTTCTGAAGTCTTGCCAAGAAAACTGGAGGGATTAATCCAGGTAGTCTCCAAGAGTCATAATGACTTGAAGACACAGACACAGACACAAAAACAGTATAAAGTTTAGGTACCCAATTTATACTTTTGCACTCTTCTTCACTGCAGGACTCAGAACTAGTAAAGCTAGAGAGAGAGAATTCCAAGAAAAACCTAAGGTTCACTCACTTCGCTCTCTCTTTCTCTAGAATCCTTCCTAGCATACAGCTTCTCTTGCACTGACTTCCTTTTGCCTAGTCCATTCTTCATATGCTATCAATGTTCTGCACACCTTTAACTGCCAGTTCCCAGGTTTTTCTGTTTCCTCACCCAAGAACACTGATGTCCCACTTTACTGCTAGGATCTCATCTTTCCAGCCCTACATCTACCCTCCATCAGCAGCAGACACTCAGTTTTCTGAACACAGAGCACTCCACAAGCTCAAGTGAAACAGATTTATGAGTTGAGTAAGAATGAAGTCTGCTATCTGGGAGTATGGAAGTGGGCATTTTAACATGGCTAGTTAAAGTCCTAGATTTCCAAGACTGGATTAAGAAAAGAACACACATGCTAATATCCTAGAATTAGAATTAAGAAAAGGTCCAATAATAGATATATTACCTGTTTTTCCAGCTCCACTCTCCCCAGTTATAAGTATACACTGGTCTTTATCCTGGTCTCTCAAAGATCGATATGCTTCATCAGACAGGGCAAAACTATGGAATAAAGTACGACATATTGAGTTATCTAGGTCACATCCAGTGGTACTCAAGAAGCACCAAAATGTTTAAATACTTCAACAATTTTTGCTGATAAGCTTATAAAACTGTACAAATTATAGCGGACCTTTGGCTGTTACAAATGAATGTCACCAACCGCCTGTATTCTTTACTTACAGACTGCTGGCTGTTCATAAGCATCTGAAGATGAAACTGCAGTTTCTGTTCTTTAACTGCAACTCATTTACTTTATACAGTATATGCAATGGAGAAGTTGGTTATAGGCTCATATTAAGAGGCTTTTAAGAGAGGATAGGAGAGTAGTCTCAAAAATCTGGATATATCATATTACCTTTTCACAGAAAATGCTAGATATCAGAAGGCATACTTATCTGTACTCCCTGACAGCAATATCTCTCATTCAACAGGAAAAATAAGAGATGATACACAAATGCCATTCATACTAATAGTCCACCACATCTAGGATATGAAATGGCAGCCACTGGTATTTTTCACTATCAGTTCCAAAAATGGGATAGTACAGATCAGGAAACTCAAGTTTGGTAGCTGGAATACAGTAAGAGCTAATAGTGTATGTTACAGCTGCAGCTGCAGCAAGCCATCAACACACAAGACTATTCCTAGACCTCACCTAGATCATCATTAACACATGCTTCAGTTCTAGAACTCATATGGAATTATACACTATCTAAAATATTTTAAGTAGCAGTATCTCTCTCTCTCTCTCTCTTCACCCAATTCCAGTAAGATATTAACATGTATGTTTCAGTACTATGCTGAGATTACTTGGATTTATTGTCCAAGATTTTGTCCAACACACATAGGATGTTGAGATTTAAGCCATACTGCAACATGAAAGTAATTGTATGTATTTTACATCCATAAGCATGAAGCCTCCATATTTGAATATCAAATTCAAATAACTGAATAATTTTAAACATTATACATAACAACGCAGAGACTAAAATCATAGTGATCTAAACAATTTACTTTTCTTACAATATAAGAAAGGGATACAAACTATAGTTGAAATTTAAGCTGAGATGGGAAGAAAAGATATTTAAAAATTCTTCATGTATTTTTTTTCCTTATGAAATACCATGAACAGTGTTCATGCACACACAACAACTTCTAACATCTCTCATCCTCAGCTAGGAGAATTCCCCAAAATTATATTTACATTAAGGAACGTTCCATGTGAGGTGGGGTGGGGATAGGGAGGGGTAGGGAATGACTATCTGGGCGAGTACTGCAGAAAGAAAAAGTATATAATACTGTATTAATAATAATGAAATCAGAACACCTTTCAGGTAAGAACTCTTAGCTGTCTTTGGCTCAAAAGGCTAAGCCAACTTGGATTTAATTAATTTTTGGATGAACCAGGACATCCCAGGCCTGTTGTCTAAACAGAAAAAATATCAGACAAATCATTTCCAAAAAATACTATTGAACATTATTTAAAACTTTTAGTAAAAATGCAAGTAAGTATAAATGTCGTAGCTCATACCATTCCCTGGTTTTCAAGCTGTTTTATAAAAAATTCAAAACCACATTTAAAGGGAGTAAAACAGTTTGGACTAAAGATTTAAGAAATTATATCTTTCTTCACTGTCAGCAGCCTTATAGTGATCTGAACAACTAGCAACCAAAACCACTGGTGTTTTTGAATGGCACTGTTTATTTGAGAAAATTCCTTGGATACAAACTGTGCCAACTTTCTTTACCAATATTCATTTTTAGGCTGACCAGAAGCAACGTTTAGTTCATATTTGTGAACCCTGCATCAAATTTGCTGATTCTACACTAAGTGAGACCTGTGTATTTTCAACTTGACAGGCTGACGTGCTGCTACAGACTTGTGCTGAAATCATTGATAGACTTTGATTATTGTCCTTCACAGTATGCAACCACTTAGTTTTAACTGCACTTACAGACTCCATTAACATAAATTAAGACATTTAATCAGTTCAACACTCTAATGGAACACAGGTAAATCTTATTAAAGTTTTATCTGGAGAGAACTACAATGGCTTAGCAGATGAACAGGACTGTCAACTCAAATTTCTTTTTCACTTTGTATCTAACGTTTAGAAGCTGTTCTTATCTCTGATTTTTTTTTTTTCAATTTCTGACACCACTGCTACAAGACTATTTTTAAGAAAACTTCATGGGTTCTGTGGAAATGAAGTGGGACAACGTACTGCTATGGTAATCTTAGCTTACAATAAATTTTGCTATAATCAAATAAAATCAGTTTATTACAGCCATAAGGCCAGATTAAATTTTGCCATAAATTTCAATAGTTTCAAACTGCTCTTTGAACTTATTCCAAGAAATAAATTTTAATTTAATTTTTAAATCCAAGTGCATACCTATTCAGCCTTGGAGTGCTCTGAATATTACCTCATCCCATTTTAAACCTTCATTTGGCTAAAACCTGCTTTTCATTTTGAGCACTTTAGTGTTATTATAGAATTATTATTATCATCATCATCATCATCATCATCATCATCATCTTATTGAAACACCTCTAGTAGTAGCGTTTTCAGTTTTTCATCTCTATGAAACGCCTCCGGCTCAGCAGTAGGTTGAAAACAATCTCAGGAGACAAATTTTACAATTTATTTTGGATAACTATCATTATTACTTCTCACAATGCACAGTTACATCAGGCACTGTCCTTAAGCATCCTGGACTAGAATTTCAGCTGATCAAATCTGATTCTGCAGGTTTCTTCCCCCGCCCCCTATCCATGGGAAAGGGCTCCATTTGGGTAATTAATGTGCAGTCTGCTACCTCCATATGCTGTTGAAGCCACACAGAATCCCACCTGGCATGAGGGATTCGCCTTCTTTAGAATCACCTTCTAAAATAAGGTCACAGTTGGCCTAAGAAAGGGAATTGTTCCACAGGTAGAGAGAGAAAAATGGATTCTAAAGGGGTGACATTCTGCAAGCGGTTTCTGATGAGCAGCAAATGTGAGTATTCATCTCTAAGTACTAAATGCCTCTGTATTAGAGTAACCTCATTGTAAAGGAGTCATGTGAGTCTGCCACTGCGAACTTCAAAACAACAGGAGCAGCCACCACCTTCATCCCCTAATTACCTACACAATCCAAACAACAGCCTGGCAGAAACTGATGCCTATTTTTTTAAGAAGCCACTCTCACTAATACAAGTATCAATAAAGAAAAAGTCCCAAATGGTATTCTGCATTTCATAAGATATACGAAAGGCCACAGTGTCTAAAGAGAAGTGACATCTCATATACAGAAAAGCCCCTGAACAGTGATCTAAAAAAAGTAAAAGTTGGTGGGGAATTCTTTCAGTTTGTTTTTTTAATGAGGCTTCTTCATGGAGCCAACACAGAATGTCAACACCTCTCTTTAAAATTTACAGATGACTTTAATTACTGTACACACACACACTTCAACAGTATCCAACAGCCTTTTCTGTTGTAATCCACTGCACTCCTAAAATGCTATTCCAGAAGCAAAGGGAAATCTTAGGGGCTTGAGCAATGACCGTAAAAAAACAAAAGAATACAATAAACTCTAATATAAGAAAGTATTTTTCAGACATGCACAAAGCTTTTAGGATTTTTTCCCTAATTTCTTACAACACTTTGGATTAAATTACGTATCTCAAGAATATCATCTGTACTTTCAATTGGCGAGTAGCAGATAGAAAGGAGTACTGGTAGTCCTCACTTCAGAACCACAATTGGGACCAGAATTTAGGTCGCTAAGCGATGCAGTCGTTAAGTGAATTATCACGTGACCACTTTGCTTAGCAACCGCAATCCCGGCACTCCTGGCTGCCGTTGTTAAGTGAGAATCATGGGTTGTTAAGCAGACAAAAGCCCCAGGTAAGGAGCATGGGGGTGTCTCGGGGGGTGGGGGAGGCCCGGCACAGGCCACGCATGAGTTGGGGGTGCTGCAGTGTGACACAAAGCCGCAGCCACCCCTGGAAACCTCAGCTGCCCCAGCTCAGCCCAGCAGAGCTTACGACTGCAGGGGTGCTGCAATTCCCCCCACCCACCTATCTCCCCCACACCTATGCCCTTTTGGCCACCCTGCACTGTGGCCCTTGGCAGCGGCAGCACCACGGCTGGGGCTGAAGTACAGACCCGAGGCCTTCAGGAGTCTTAGTGTCCTATTCTTGCGAGACTGGGGGAAGACCAGAAGTTTTCCAAAAGATCATGAGAATGGGATGCTGGCTTGCAGAAGGTATGCGACGCACAGCTTGGGGAAGGAACAGGATGGGACACCAGCTTCAGGGAAGGAATGAGAGGCATGGCTTAGGGAAGGAATGGGATGCCGGCTTGCAGAAGGTATGGGACACACAGCTTGGGGATGGAATGAGACAACAGGACGCCAGCTTTAGGGAAGGAACGAGAGGTGCGGCTTGGGGAGCAGCGCAAGGCGGTGAAGGTCAGTGGTGTGGGGCCTGAGGTGGCATTTCTCAGTGGCACTGGCAGTGCTGGGGCTGAAGTCAAGACCTGGGGTGTGGTGGCAGTTGGCTGAGACTGCTGAAGGCCTCAACTTCAGCCCTAGCCTCAGCGCTGCTGCTGCTGAGTGCCGCTGTGCAGGGTGGCCAAAGGGGCACAGATGGGGGAGAGACAGGCGGGTGGGGGGTACGGCAGTGCCCCTGCGGTCATAAGTGCGGCCAGGCTGCCGGAGTGTCCAAATTTTGATCATGTGACTGCAGGGGTGCTGTAACAGCCATATCTTCAGGCATTGGTTGTAAGTCCAGTTTTTCAGTGCCATCGTAATTTCAAATGGTCACTGAACAAATGGTGAATTTCCCAATTCACAATCACTACTACAGGAGAGGCTGAAAAGAAGCACTTACTTATATGTAATCAGATTTGCTTTGCATTTTGGTATCAAGGATCTGAGTAGGCGCTAGTCCACACAAAAATTCTAACGCATCCAACTGGAGTCATCAGTCATACCACAGAGCACTAAAGCAGC